GCATATTATGCATATTTTCCGTCTCCTCCTGTGCTTCATTTCCCCGTTGGCCCTGACTTACAAAACACCAGTGAAAAGACAAAACGGTTTAGCATTTCAGATGGCGACAGCAGGGCATTTAACCAGGCAGAGCAGAGGCCCTGGGCGGCGGCACAGGTCGGATGCCCGCGAAGCTGGCGCTGCAGACCTGGGAGCCTGAGCAGGACAGAGTCCCCGCACTCACGGAGCACTTCAGAGTTTACAAAGCACATCTCACCCTTCACCTCACCTGACTGTCACACTGCTTCACTCTGCAGGCGAGCAGCTGATATCCGTGGTTAAATTAAACGAGGAAACCATCAGACTGAGGTGGCTCTCAGGCCAGGGCGGCAAACAAACCAAAACCTAAGCCAGGAAACGCGCCAAAGCTACGAAATCAAAACGCTGCTAAGAAACAACCAATCACAGACGGCGAACTAGGCTTCAGGCTGCAGCCGCGCAAACTCCTGGCGGCTTCCGCGCTCTCTCTCCGGGCGGTTCCCCTGGCCCCCAGTCCTCCGAGGGCTCCCAACCACTTCCTGCTTGGCGCCGGGTTGGGGTGCAAGTCTGTTTCTGCTCAAATAAGCTTTTCAACATTTTAATATGTTTCATTGCTCTTTTAGCACCTCTTACGCGCTGAAGAGATGCCTGATTAGCTCAACTTCGGTGGGTGACTATTGGCGGCACGTGGACCAGAAGCCCTGCATCCTGGTCCCGAGTTAGGTTCTGACTCACGGTACCTTTCCCCTCCAAGAGCTGTCAGACTGCAAAGGGAGAAACTGCATTTTTCTGTCCTTAGGGTGCATTTTCTGTGTAATTCCAGAAACAGCAAAAAGCCGTGGATTCTGGTACATGGAATATGTTAGTGGCAGAAGGGTTAAAGGAAAGAGATGATCAGAGTCAGGAGGAGCGACTCTGTGAAGTCTCCCAGGAGGACAGAGGCTTTGAGGGGGGATTCGAAGTGAATATTGAGGAGAAGCAAAGCCTGTGTGGAGAAGAAACGTCCTCTCCCAGAAACACAAGTGAGAAGGAGCAGAGAAACTGGAGTCTGGGAAGGTCACAATTTCCATGCTTGCACGAAGAGTGTCAGCTCAAGATGCCATGTTTGGCATAAATTTCTTTAATTTAATCTTACAACTGATCTACTTAAAGCCATTTTCCTGCATCCTTAGGTAGTTAAATCAGTGGTCTCTTCCTACACTACTTTGTTCTAATAGCCAAACCGCCCATAAATGCAATTAATACAGGCAAATATATATATGGCATGTTTCTAAACTCATTGTTCTCTTTCATTGGTTGGCTTATGATGAAACAATTTTTAAAAACAGAAAAATAAATGTACACCCCCAAAAAATCACTGGAAATGCTAAAGTAGATGATACACAAATTTAAAACAAATTTAAATACTCTGGGAATACATATCTCACTAATGCTACCTGTAAAAAATCATTTATTATGACCACTAGTCCTGACTTTGCTTCCTGCCACCCAGCTGGAATAGAACACCTTTTTTAAACTCATCATATATCTTCTTGATTGTTCAGTGTTTCAAAAACTTGGCTTTTCTACAGAAGTTGTAACCAAGTTTGCATCTAAAGCCATTTATCTGAGGCTTTTATTCGAGGGCATTTTTTCAAGCAAGGAAGACTGCTCATTCACTAAGGCAAGAAATCCTCTCATTCGATATTTTCAGAATTTCTTGTCATCTGTATGTAACTGCCAGCATCACACTCACCTTGAAGAAAACACAGCACACCAATATAAGCAGCATGAAACCTTTGTGATTATGTGTTCCCTAGGCAAAAAGAAAATCATAGTCACTTCATTATCTGTTCGATGTTTCTCCTGTTTCCCCTCCTGATACTTAAAAAAATAAAATAAACTGATTTCATTTACTACTTCTACTCTCTGATATTCAAAACACGGTAACACTTTATTGTAAAAACATAATAGTTTTAAACCTGTGCTCATAGGAAATAACCTGGTGAAGTGATTTCCTCACCCAGTGACCCGTCTCACAGTGAGAAACTACCTGGAGGGATAGAGGGTTAGGTAAAGAAATTGAGAGCCCAGTGATGAGGTGATGGTGTTCGATGTGAACTCCTTGGGGATATCATCTGTCCTATGCATTCCCTTTTTCCCGAAAACTAACACAGTGCCTGCCAAATAGTTGAAAGAACACAGGTCCATTTTGCTATCTTAGTCAAAGAGCTTTACACTCTTCAGTGTTTGATGCTGAAAATGGAATGTTGAAAAGGGATTGGGTAAATTAATCCAGAGTTTAAGACAAACAGAAATTCATTCTCTGTCATTGCTCTTAGTGTGAATTTAAGCATGACTTTGTTTTCAGCAGCTCTGTTCTTAAGAAGGCAAATAACCAGATTGTTGAAGAGCTGAAATATGCAAATTTTTCACCTGAGCCACTCAAGCAGGTAGACAGATGACCCATTTTTCACCAGCACATACAGGAAGATAAGTGGATTGCCAGAAGCAAAACTACCTCTTCCACCCTGCTATGCCCCATTTTGGGGATACTTAGTGACTCAGATTGTGTCTTTCAATCTGTTTATAACTACACAACTATAAATAACATGGTCTCCCTCAGGCATCCTGTGAACAATAAAAAGAAGTTTCTAAGAATAATAATACTAAAAGTCAACGAACTATATTAATACGGTATAAAAAACAAACTGTTGCCTGGCAATTTGGTGGCATCATGTAGAGGCTCACTGAAAATTCTTAACTAGGAGAGATTTTTATACTACCTCAGGAAATCTCCTTTATCTCTCTCTGAACATTGAACTTAAAATGAATGAAGGTGGTCTTACAAAAATCCTATGAAAAATCTTCCACGTCAAAAGGGGGAAAAAATAAAATGACACAAAATTTGTTAATAGTGACCCACTGATAATTTTGGCTAACGTTATTAAGCTGAGTCCCAGAGAAGAGATTTACCGCATCTAGAACAGTGTTTTGCAAAATGTGCTCACAACATATGCAAAAGGCAGACTCTTTTATTCCACACAGATCTACTAAATCAGAATCTTTGGATGTGGGGATATCTGCATATCTGACCAGGTTCCCAAGGGATTATTCAACATACTGAAGTTTGAGAACCACTCACTAGAGTTTACTGGTTAGTTTCCAGATACCATTTGAGGATTTCAGTGGTGAATCAGTGAATGACATGTCCACCAGACATGCCTAAATGCAAACTCATTCAAAGAGAATTATCTACACTGCTGCCTGTCTTCATTAGATTACTTTTTTATTAGAAAATGGCATCAGCGCTCTCTGTTGTCCAGTTGATTGTCAAGAGTATTTAAATATGTCTTTAAGAAGCCACTTCAACCTTCTGCACTTTTGAATCATACCGAAGAATATAGCATTTTATTTTTTGTTATACTATTCGTATAGAAAGTTCAACCATAGGATTTTTGTGGAGTGTTAACTGAAGGATGTTCAGTTTTTCTCTCCCCATTTATATTTCAAATTATCCTTGAGTCAAACCAGACTACCAGGCATTACTTGTCTCTGATAGGAGAACAGAACTGCTTTAATAAAACCGCACTGACTGCTGTGTAGCATTACCAGCAAGTTTCCTCTGACAGGTGTACTGGGAAGATACGGTCAAGTACGTTGTTCAGTACATCCCAGTATATATCCATTATGAAGACTATGGTTTGCTTACCAAGGACAGCAATAGTTCTGCCCTAAGCACAAATTATCCTGGATCTCCCTTTGCTTTGACTGCTTGGATTAGTAAGTATGATGTATGTAATATCACAAAGTTTATGATAAACCTAAATTCTAACTGACATCATTTCCCTTTCTTAATTTCTTTTGGGCCTGTTTTCTTCCCTTTCTTTACTCTTTATCTTGCTTGTCATGCTTTTTATCTGAGGCTTCCTAAATCATTTTTGGAATAATGAAGGCCATAAATAAACCTTTATTATACTAATGATCATAGTGGCATAGTCCTAACTATTCAAAATCTCACTGGATATGATTCCTATTACACAAATTTCATCTTTCAACTTTCTATGTAAAATCTCCACTATACAAGTTCAACATTTAATGTCACACTTATAATACAAAAAAATTTTTCTAATCAATAGGACTTGACTGAGAATGGCATGGGCAATCATGGGATATAGTGAGTTCTCCACTATAGGAGGTAATCAAGCAAAAACTAAGTGACTACTTAGCAAGATTATTGTAGAAGGGTTTTGATGTCAGATATCACATTGGATGACAGATATCTTGAGTCTCTTCCACCTCTGAAATCCTTCAATCTATTACATCTTTTAAAAATTATTACAGTTAATATCATCAAAAAAAAAGTCAGCAAAAAAATTAAAAGAAACATACATTTCTCAGTAAGGAGTACTTAGACAACTACAAAGCCAGGAAAAAAAGCATTCCTAGGAA